TGGGAGAGCACATCGTTCCCCCTCAAAAACCCCTATGAAAACCAATTAAAAAAAAAAAAAAAAAAAAAGCCAGCAACATGGTAGAGAGGTTGGCTTCTTACCTCTCTTCCTAAGTGCATGTTGATCTTAAACATCTGTCAGATGAGTCATACATTGGATTATTTTTTATATACATGTATCCACAATATTTCAAATTGAAAACATCTCTGGATTCAAAACTATTACATGCTGTTGTCTAAAACAGATGAGAAAATTTATAACTGTACAAATGAAATGCACATATTGATATTTAAAATGCATAATTAAGAAAACCCGTTGGTGTTGTGTTTTTCTTATTACCAATAGTTAAGCCATGACTGTTGGCACTGCTTGGTTTTCTATTTTAACACTGAAGGAGTGAAAGTTTTCCTATATTTATGAATTTACTACTAAAATCTTAGCAAAAAAAAAAATGTCTAAAATGTATAGGTGCAAACTGTTAAGTGTGCTTCTACTCCCATCTCATAGTTGGGACACCAAGTGTATACCCTAGGTTGCTTAAGGGGATTTCACTATTATATAAAGCAAATAAAATGAAAATGGAGTAGTTGTATATCTGCAACGTTTTGTACAGAGGGGAGATTCTGAATACTATGAACATTCTTGTCTTCCTTTACCTTTTTTTGTACCTAATATCTAATCTACTTTTTAAATTTTCAGACTTCGCTGCTCTTTTAATTGATAATTCCAATTTTCACATTGTTATTGGAAAACCATATCTAATAAAGGTTTTAGTTAGTCCTATGCACAAAATGAAAATTCCTGTTTGCGGAGGTGGTGTTTCAAGAAAATGTACTGGCATGTCTTTAAGGATTTTTATTGTGTCATGTTAATATAATCTAATCTCCATTTACAGATTTTAACTTGAAGTTACAGTTTACAATTAATTTACTTAACTACTGTTCAAATGATAGTTTATAGTGCATCAGATATATATCTAAAGTTTTTTGGTTTTTTTGGGGGGGGGTCTTTTTGAGACAGGGTCTCCCTCTAGCCCCAGCTGGCCTTGAAGTCACAGAGATCTGCCTGCCTCTGCCTCTTGAGTGCTGGGACTGAAGCCAGGTGCCACCATACCCAGCTTTAGATCGTGAATCTTAATATTTTAATTTCTAGAGGATGCAGGAATTTTAGAAAACTTGTTAAAAATACAATTCTGGTAATAATCTTTTGACCTACTCCTCTGATTTTTACTTACTTAGATACTGTTTTTCCCTTTTCCCACAGTACTCCTATCCAGTAACTATTGTACACCATATAAGACAGTGATTAGCTTTGGAAGAGACTGGAGTGTAGAACAGGGAGGCCAACACAGTGGCTTTGTGATATTATTCAACCCTCTGACATAAGCAAGAAAAAGGCCTTAGGAGCTTATATTGTTTGACAAAACTGTCAAACACAATAATTTTAGTGTAATGGCCATTCTATGTTTACAAAATATCCTTAAAATCATACCCAAACACGAGTTCTACTCAATTCTCTGAGTTTTGACAAAGATCATGCGTGAACACTTCTGTGTCTCTACTGAATTCTAAGCTTTAGTCTCAAGTTCACCTCTACAGTCACTTTTCATGCTTTGTATTAGGCAAATAACAGTTGCATGTCACTGTACATATAAGGTGCCCTTAGAGATATTGTAATTTTTTTTATTGCAGAAATTAACTAAAAACATCAGACTCTCAAGATAAAAAAGGTTTTCCTATGATACGAGGTTTTAGGTTTTTTTTGAGGCAGGGTTTGATAACAGCATAGGCTTGCCAGTAAACTCCCAGTCCTTTAGGGGCTACATAGCCATAATGGCCAGCTACACACACTGTGGCCACTTACATAAAAGGCCAGGACTTATTTCACCATGCTCTTCAAAAGAAGCTGGGCAATGTAGGGTTTTTTGTTTTGTTTTTTAAGTTACCAGGTAAATTCCAGGTATGGAATGCAGCAAGTGGATCTCTGAGGTTGAAGCCAGCTGAGGCAACAGGGAGACCCTGCCTCAAAAGGCAAAACAAAAAAAGTAAAGTTGCCATTCCCCACCTGGGTTTTTAAAGCACAGGTAACAATTCATCTTTACATACTTAGTGCCTGTTTCCTTGTGTACTGGAAAATTTAAATGCTTCCTCCCAAAAAGCCTTTTAAGGAATTTTAACTTCCCTATATGTGTGAGGGTATGAATGCATGCATTTGGGTGTCTGCAGATAGCAAAAGAGGGTGTCAGATCCCTTCAAGCTAGAGTTACAGGTAGTTGTGTTCCACCAAAGTGGTTCTGAGAACTGAGCTGGGTCCTCTGATAGAGCAGCAACTGCTTTTAACCCTTGAGTCATCTCTATAATCCTTTTTAAGCATTTAAAAAACAATAAAAAAAAAAACTAGAAAAAGCTTCTCCAACTTTCATTATGAAAGTAAAAATTTGCCCACTACAATTTCATCAAGTTCCAGCCAGGGCACTATTAGCTAAGAAAAGTCATTGAAACTACACTCACAGACATTTATACTGGGCTAGAGACATGGCTCAAGTTAAGAGCACTGGCTCCTCTTGCAGGGGACCCAGGTTCATGTCCCAGTGCCCACATGATGGCTAACAAACCATCCTTAACTCCAGTTCCAGGGGACCCTGACAACCTCTATTATACCCATAGGCACTGTTGGACATGGGTACACTTACATACAAGAAGGCAGTATGAGTATACCTATAAAAATATTTAATAAAGGGCCTTAAGAAATATGCAGAATAACTTCAAACTTGCAACAGCAACTTGAGGATGAAATTAGATTTTAAATGAATACAAAAGGTGTACTGAGAAAATTACATAAGGGCTCATTACTTGACTCTACTCAGATTCATAGCTCCTGCTCCCTTTGTAGTAACCAGGACCTTTCGGATGCTAAGCAAGCATTCTACCACTAAGTTTTGCCAATGTTTTAATGTTTGTTTTGGAGGTTTTGTTTCCTGGTACTGAGGATTAAGTGTAGGGCTTTTTACCATTTAACTACAAGTTGATCTACAGATTCTGTGCAATCCATATGAAATCTCACCTACCTTTTTCCAGGAAGTCACAAATTTACTCAAAATTTATGTGAGAATACAAGAGGATCAGAATATCCAAAATCTTGAAAAATGATTTAGTGATCCAAAGTGCTCGGGTACTGGTATAAAGAAGGGCAAATAGAATATAATCAAGGAAAAAAAAAAAAACTATATTTATGGTCATCTGACACCCAGGAAGTGACAAGACTGTGGGAGAAAGCAGTCACCAAATGGCTCTGAAACAGCAAATTATTTTTATTTTTCATGTGTGTGTCTATTGCCTGTATGAATGTAAGTGCACCCATGTCGTGCAATGCCACGGAGGTCAGAAGAGGGAAACAGCAAATACATAATTTTGCATATAGCAAAAGCATAAAGCAGGGAGGGAGCTGTTGGTAGTGGCACAGACCTTTTATGGCAGCACTGGGAAAGCAGAGGCAGACAGATCACTGTGGCTTCAGTCCATCCTGGATGGATTCAGGAGGCCAAAGCAGGACTGAATGTTTGAGACAACCTGAGCAGCTTAGCAAGCTCTTGTCTCAAGAGTGTTTCAAAGGAAAATTAAGATCTTATGTTTGTAGCTCCTGTGGCAGAGTGCCTAGCATGCATGAGGCTGAATATGAATCCCAGCATTGGCAAAAAGACTGGAAGTGAAAAAAAGCTAGAAGACATTGGCAAATCCCTTTTGGGCTAGTACCCCGAATATGTAAAATGTAAAACTTTTTTGGGGGGGAGTCTTTTTGAGGCAGGGTCTCCCTGTAGCCCCAGCTGTCCTGGAGCTTACACAGACAAGGCTGGCCTTGTCTATTTCTTGCAGAAATCGTCCTGCCTCTGCCTCCTGAGTGTTGGGATTAAAGGCATGAACAGAAAAGGGGGCTGGATGGTTCAGTGGTTAAGAGCACTGCTCTTGCAGAGGACCAGAGTTGGATTCCTAGCACTGACACTGGCTAACAATCAGGGTGTCCAGTCAGTTCCAGAGGGATCCAGTGTTCCACTGGAAACTGCTATGCATCACACGACACAGACAATACACACACTCTCTCTCACACACACACACACAAACAGGAAAGAGGGCTAGAGAAAAGGCTCAGCTGTTAAGAACACTGGCTGCTCTTGCAGAGGACCTGGGTTTACTTTCCAGCACCCATATGGCAGTTTACAACCATCTATAACTCCAGCTCCATGGGCACTGTATGATATGGGTGCAGTTATCCAAGCACTCGAGATGGAGACAAGCAAAAGACAAAACCTGGCCATGCATATTAGTGCACACATTTAATCCCAGCACTCAGTGGGCAGAGGTAGGCAGATCTCTTGAGTTCAAGGCCAGCCTGGTCTACACAGTGAATTCCTGGCCAATTTAGGGTACAGATACTGATAAACTCTGAAAAATATTGAAAGATGTCCTATGTCCTTCCATGTCAAATTTCAGCCAAGATTTAATTATGTAAAAATAAACTCATCCATCTCATTCATATGCAGATTTGCTTTCATCTTTAAAAAACGGTGAAATTATAGATCAAATAATTAAATTTTTTTGTGGTTGTTATCAAAACCAAAAACCAAGAGACAAAACTGGGGATTGTGGTACTGTATTGTAAACAAGTGAAAGATTTTGGATACCAAAATTCCATTAATATGAAATTTCCAGA